ATTTTTTGACAATGATACGTGTACAATACAATATTAGAGTACAACAAAAGCTGTTTTAATTAATAATGTTTGTAGACTACTGATTAAAGTTTAGCAAATTGAGTTAGTAGAGTTAGCCAAAGCATATACTAAAACAAGATAGGTTACTATAGTTTTTATGTTAGCTATTGATTAATACATGCCAAAGTTAGCTTCATATTTCTCTGTTAACAAATAATGTTTTTTTAAGGTATTTTTTTTTTCAACTGAACATACTGTATTGCCCCCATTGGTTGAAAGCGGGGCGTGGAGCGGTAGTTGTTGTTGTTGTAGGCACCTCGTATTCGATCTCCACCTCAGCGGGTACTGCAGACGTAACACATGTTACACGGTTAGTTGGTTATATCAAACTTCTGATTAAATAAGGCAGTTTGTCTAACAATGCAACGTATAAGCTTTAGATTCCCACTCATGCGCTTGACAACAGTGAATATCGCATCAAAATCTAAATGGAACTTTTTTTTTCAGTGAGGATACTATGCGTCCCAGGTGCACTGTTAGTTGGAATGCCACTAAGATTATATATTTTATTAGTGAATGCTAAAAGACAAATCAAAGTTATATTTCACTGCTTATTTACACTATTTGTTGAAGGGGTCTACCTTTTTATGTATTTTAAAATGTTAACGAAAAAGTAGCATTTTTTATAAATACATGAAATTATTATACTCTTATGTGGGCGTTAGAGACTATTCTTCGGTAAAAGATATAGAAAATAAACTTTATCTGAAAAATACAATAGAAATACGCAATTAATAGTAGTAAACTGGACGCCTCAAGGAAAAAGAAAGTTGGGAAACCCAAGGGAAACGAGGAGGCGTACGCAGGGAAGTAGCTGGCAGAGGCAGGACTGTCGTGGGGGGGGGGGGGCTGCCAGGAAAATTGGCGCTGACGGACAAAAGTGGAGTGAGCTTTATGTGTCGGACACACAAAAAAAATGACGAGGTACTTGTGGCGGGAGGTTTATTTCAATTATGTTGTATGCTAGGATCTCGAATGTGGTTGTATTTAGGGTTATCGTTGTGTTACGTACGTTGAGATGCTATGATGTTTAGATGTGCTAAATATAAGACATACGGATGTTTTGTTGTGTTGAATACACTGAGATGTTAGGGTGTTTTGATGTGCTAAATATAAGATATAAGGATGTTTTGTTGTGTTGAATACACTGAGATGTTAGGGTGTTTTGATGTGCTAAATATAAGATATAAGGATGTTTTGTTGTGTTGAATACACTGAGATGTTAGGGTGTTTTGATGTGCTAAATATAAGATATAAGGATGTTTTGTTGTGTTGAATACACTGAGATGTTAGGGTGTTTTGATGTGCTAAATATAAGATATAAGGATGTTTTGTTGTGTTGAATACACTGAGATGTTAGGGTGTTTTGATGTGCTAAATATAAGATATAAGGATGTTTTGTTGTGTTGAATACACTGAGATGTTAGGGTGTTTTGATGTGCTAAATATAAGATATAAGGATGTTTTGTTGTGTTGAATACACTGAGATGTTAGAGTGTTTTGATGTGCTAAATATAAGATATAAGGATGTTTTGTTGTGTTGAATACACTGAGATGTTAGGGTGTTTTGATGTGCTAAATATAAGATATAAGGATGTTTTGTTGTGTTGAATACATTGAGTCTTAAATACGCTGGGACGCCGAGGAGTTTAGATGTGTTAAATACACTGAGACGCGAGTGTAGTTTTGAACACACAGAAAAGCCTACTGATGGCTACACAACTTACATTAGTAAAGTCAATTTTGCTCACAAATATGTATTTATAAGAAATCAAAAGTCAAGTGTGTCTTATAAGCCAGTTGATGTCGAGTATGTTTTATGTGGCAGTTGATGTCAAGTATGTCTTCAAAGCCAGTTTCTCAGCAACAATCAAGTGTGTTTTGTAGAAGCAATAACTAGGCGGTCAACTAAAGTCCTGAAAAAGGCTCAAACAGCCTGAAACAGTGTTTATCTTGCATAATTTTTAAAAAATCTAAATTATCTTAAGCTACTTAAAAATTATTTTAATAAATACCAAATTTTTGTTAATTAAAAAAATATTCTATTATATGCGATTATATTCTTCGGGCTTCCCTTTTTGACTTTCAAGTTTAAGTTTACATAATTTAGCTGCTACATGTGTATGCTTTCCTATAGACAGACATGTCTTACAATCAATTTCAACAATAAAAATGTTTTCAGAAGTCAGGCAAGAGGTAATGTGTGTTTAATGGGCTGGGTAGAAGATCATGACGTTTTGAAGGTGGGTGGGGCTATTTAGAAATTGTATTTTTGTGTAAATAAATGTATATCGAATATTTGCATTTCCGGTTAACAATATATTTAATGTTAAAGTAGTAATGTCAAAATGTATATTGTTGTTGCATGATCACAAGTGAGCAAAGACCGCAAATATATATATATATATATATATATATATATATATATATATATATATAT